GTGGAGTTTGGAAAGTATGTATTGATAAAAGATAAACCGTACTCCTTCTACTTCAATAATAGGTTGCTGGTAAACGATTCTACATTGATAATTTGTTAATATATATCATCATATGGATAATGTGATATGATGTTTAGATCACAATGTTGTTTAACGATCTAATGACGATGGTGTAAAAACCGCATAACCATACCTAGTATAAGTAAATTCTACCTCCAGCTATGATAAATCTAGGTTGATTTACCTCAACTTCTTAGCTTGTAGTCTTTTGTTAGCTAAAGTCACAAGACGATCGAGCTTCACTTAGAATACATCTTTAAGTATAAGCTACTAGCGAACTTTCTGGTAAATCATATTTTTCGTTATAAATATTCACCGTGAATTATTTATAATTAATGTCACCATCCACTAATTTAGTTATAGATACAACAAATTCATTATTGTCACCATTATAAAACTTCTAGAATATAATTATATTGGCATGATACTGGGGGAATTACCGCAAAGCCCACCACCCAACTCATCAAGCTAATCTAGAATAGTGTTTTTTTTTTTTTTTGGGAATAGTGTTATTCCAAAAGTTGTTTGTTAAACATTTGAAAATTAAAGAAAATCATTAAAAAAAATAAAAATAAACTGGTTTAAAAGGATATACGGTCTGCATGTGACACATTTTGTTTCAACAGTACAGTGGTCAGTGGTGGCCTGCATGTTGGGTATACGGTCTGTAAAACCAACTTTTCAGTTTTACCTAAAAGGATGAAATTAATATAGTAATTTAACTTCTTTAAGAAATCTTCTGATAGATATTTATGTATGATATTAAAAAATTTCATGCATAACGTAAATGATACTCTATTTGTGTGTAAAAAATGATTGTAACTATAATAATGTTACTATAATATATATGCAATTACATTTGTACAGCGTACTATGAGGATATATGTTTTGTCAACATTTCATAATAATATTTTGCTGAATTTTGACAACAGTGTATTATACGGAAGAGTAAAAAATTCCATACAAAATGAAATTTAATTTTTTTTAAAACAACATTTCATGAGTGTTTTCATAGCTCATATTTATAAAATTTCTGAATAAAGTCATCCATTCGCGTGATGTAGGGTCAAGAATCAAACCTAGCTAATTATTGGTGACTGATTGGATGACTCGTAATTTATCTTTTTCAACATTTTTAAACAGAAGTTTTGATAGTTTAAGATTAATTTTGCGTACACCGATAAATTTGATGTTAAAAAAAAAAAAAAAAAAAAAAAAAGAGGCAAACCTGGCTTGTACGTGACATTATAGGGACACCATCATCAATAGGCTAATCCTTTGCCACGTTACCACTTACCATATGCTTGAAGGCAATTTAGTATTTTATAATCTAAACATAGATGACATATATAGTTAAAGTATTAGTAGTAAGGCTCTAATCATCATGTCATGCCATGTTAAGTAGTACACAAATTAAATTATGTTTCAATAACACGTACATTCTCATAGCTGATTTTTTTTTTTTTTTAATCGCCTAAAAAGTGGCCAATTTTTTAAAAAATTTTATAACTTTTTACATTATTGATATTCAATAGTAAAGTGTTACCGACCACTTTAAATTAATGATTTAAATGAATGAACACATGGGATGAGATTGCAAACACGGTTTGGTACAAGAAATGAAGATGGAAAAGAATCTTTAAAAGTAAACCAACTATTAATAGAATTGGTTTAAAAAAAAAAAAAAAAATTGACAAAAACTCACCTCTCATCCGCATTTTGGTTGTCAAATAAAATAAAAAAAAATTGTATGGCGCAACTTACTTATCGGCCTCTGTCCAATAATCCCTCGAGCCACCAGATACTAGACATGGCCCATTATTGAAAATTAAATCAAACTCGTGACCTGACTCTGATACCACTTATTAGAATCAATGCTTACTACTCACGTCAACAACTATAACTGGTAGCGAATGCCCAACTTATCCCCTTATAAACCGAAATCACATTTTTGAAATAGACTGAGTACTAGACTTGAACCTCAAGAATTTTACTGACCTCCGCCTAATAATTCTCCAACCACCAAATACTAGACATGACCATTTATCAGTCCTGCCCAACATCTCCCTTCTCCTCCACAAAAAAAGCAGGGGAAATCTCAAAAATCCGCAAGAAATCAGCTTTAAATGGCGCAGAAGTAATAATTGTAGGTGCACTTGAAAGATGTCTGGTGTGCATTGGATCAAGCTACCTAGTAGTTCCCCATCAAATATAAATGCAAATCATATATAGCACCACTGCACAATCAATCTTGTCAATCTGACTCACTGTTCAATTCTATGTCGTCGTAATCACTTTATCACTTCATCTTTACCTCTTACACATACGTCCCAATACCATTCCACCACCTACCATTCCCAAACAGTAAATCATAGTTTGTGATATGATCTCTCTCTGATCATCATTTGCTGCCGTCCTGTTATAATCATGTGTTGTAAGAGCATTTGGATAGACTATCTTAGTTTGATTCCATCAATTATAACTGATTTATTCAATATACACTTTCAGATAGTGATAATGGGTACTAATAATTGTATCGATTTGAGAGTGTGTATAAGATATACTCTGCTGACTCAAACTAATTAGGCTAACAGGACACTCTCACTTTAAACTTGTAAGGTTATGGTTATCAAATCAACAGCTTGACAAACTTGGCTTGAATTGCTCCCACACGAATTCTTTTTAATTCTCAACACAACTATATTGAACTAGAAATGAATGCAAACCTAATTTTGAAAGCAAATAATGAGATCATATTTTGAAATATGCCAATCTCTATTCTCAAATTATATATCTTGTGCACTCGAAATTGGTCGATGAATATAATGACTTAGTATAATTATATATGTACGTGTATGTGCACACATATATTATAATCTAAGATGGTATATTCCTAATGTTTTTTCTTTAACCTAAATTTTTATATTTACACGTGTATTAAATGGGAAAATGATGTAAAAATTGAGTGTAACCTATGCCTAATATTTAAAAATGAGTGTAATTGACCTATCTCACGTACTCCCAATTTGGTTTATATACAAACTTCTACCCTATCTACCAAAACATTTATGTATATAATTTTATATAAATACGGATTCAGTAAGTTACCTTTGCAAAATTTATTAGTAAATTAAATTCTTACTAATATTAGTAATTTAATTACTTTTTTTTTAGTTAAAATTATAAGATAAAATTAGAATAAGTACAATAGAATCATGTTGGTTGGATAGTTGGCTTGATAACTAAAAAGTTTCAAGTTCAACTCTCTGATCTGTAGGAGTTGTCTATTGAACTTCTTGGTTCGAGTCAATCGTTTTAAGGTCACTAGGATAATTGAGTTTCACTTAATTAGTGTGCACATTCAATTAGCAGTTATAATAATAAAAAGGAGTTAATTCCACACAAGAGGTCCGTTGTCTTTGGTGACAATTCCAAATTTAGTTCCAGACTATAGTTTTTGCCATTTTACATCCCAAATTATTATTTTTTGGACACTTTTACTCCTTCTTATGACTTTTTCTATTTTTAGTAAGGGCATTTTTGTCTTTTCATATTTTTCTTTTGTTATTTTTTTGGTTTCAACCGGTTTAATTCGTTTAGAACTTTAGGTAACCTCTTATTTTTAGTAACCATATTTTTCAACTGATCTTTAGTAAAGTTCTAAACCAATTAAACCGGTTGAAATCAGAAAAATAACAAAAGAAAAATAAGAAGAGACAAAATTGTCCTTACTAAAAATAGAAAAAGTCATAAGAATGACTAAAAGTATTCAAAAAAACTATAGTGTGGAATGTAAAACGACAAATACGATAGTCTGGGACTAAATTTGGAATTGTCACCACAGACAAGGGACCTCTGGTGGAATTAACTCTAATAAAAAGATATAGTGTATGTGTTTTGATATTTATAAGGGAAAATGTAATACTTTTATATTTTGATTCAAAAGTATTACATTTTTTCTTCAAAAAAATTACACTTATAAGTAATAAACACTTTATATCTGATTAGTATTACATGTTATCATATAATATTACATTTCTATCTTGGTCCGCGTCTCATAGATAAATATAATGAAATGGTCTTACATGAGTGTCTTTCAATAAAATAAAATAAAGAAGTTGTTTAGTCACATGGGTGAAGTTTGGAAAGAATGATCAGGAATCGAGTCTCACCCGCAGCTGTGGGAGTAACCTCTCAAAGTGAGGGAGTTCCTTGTGCACGATAAGTAAAGGTAAGGTAGTCTAACATGTGTATTCAACTGAGTTACCGTAATTTACATCATTCCAAATACTCTATCGAGTCGGGTTGAGGAATTTTGAAATTGGGGATTCAACCTTTTGGGTAAAAATAAAGAAGTTGTTGCCATGGAAAGTGGCAAAATTGAAAATAAAAATAAAAATAAAAAACATTGGAATACCTAAAGAGGAACAAACAGAAAAAATCTAGGCAAGTCAAGTCTGAATCTAAGACCTTAAATTGGTGTCCCAACAGGGCGTCGACGTGGTGCAATCGCGAGGCCGCGTTTAAGGGCTCCGGCCGGAGATTGGACCACGTACACCTCCTTCTCGAACTCGCTCCGCCGTACACGCCTCACGAGATACACAACCCCACTACGTGCCCCCCGTCTCCGATGCCATACGCATTACTCGACACTCACCCTTACCTGATTGGTCCCTCCGGGGCCCCACCCTACTGTGGGTCCCGTCCCCACCCGCTTCGCCACGTTTCACCTCGCCAACCAATCACATCTCGTCTCTGCTAACTCCTCTCCCAACACGTGTCCCCAACCTCCCCACGCGTCCCCACTCTCTCTCATCTTCCCTCTCCACTGTCTCTATAAATTATCGCTCCCGTTTTCTTGTCGCTTCGTTCCACAGAGCCGCCGGCCGTTTTCGTTTTCCGGTGAAACAGTCAGAGAGTGTATGTGCTCGTCGAGGAAGATGGATGGGAGAGGGGGGTGTTGTATCGCGAGGTACACCGGCGGCGGAGCGGCGTACGATACGTCGAAAGTAGGGAGGATAATGTTGAGATTCCGGCCGATCGCTCCGAAACCGGCGGCGGATGGATCTGTTTCCGGCGCATCTAGTGTCGCGGAAAGTAAGGAGGTCCGTACAACGGCTGCCCGCAGAAAGCGGAGGTACGTTAGAGATTCTGAGTCTACCGGCAAGACGGCGTCCGGTGTGAACCCTAACAGAAGGCCTTGTAAGAAGAGGAAGGCGGCGGCGGCGCCGGTGACGGAGGAGGAAAACGAGTCTAACGGTAAGACGGAGTCCGGTGGCTCATCATCAGTCTCCAGTGTGGAGAGAGAGCCGGTTATCACTCTGCCTTTGCTGCCGGAGAAACCGGAACGGAAGGAATGTCCGGCGACGGCGGCGAGGGAATCTAAGAAGCAAGAGCCAAAGGATCCGGTCTGGTTAAGCTTCGGTAACCAACTCCAACAACCGCGCGATAGTCACGTGCCTAGGCACGTGCCGTACGGCGGGGGACCAGCAAACGTGCCACCGGCGACGAGAGTCGTTGGCTCGTGGGTCCAGGTGGAAGGCATTACCGGCACGTGGATCGACCACGGAAACTGCCTAGGCCGTACGGACCAAGACAAAATAATGAATCTCGACCGCGACACGTGTCCGGGTTTCATATCCGACGCCCAGAACAGAGTGAGGTGGGCCAACGCCGCCTACCGGAACCTATTGGGGCACCGCGCCACTGAAAACGGTGGCGAAGCGGCGGTGTTTGTAGCGATGGGCGACGGCGTACGGCTACCACCACCCAGCCCGGCGGCGTTCACGTGCCGCGTGAGGGTGGTGACGCCCGCCGGCAAGGAGAAGAGCTCTAGGGTTCTCCTCTGTGATGTGTGGAGAATGAGCGGCGGCGGCCATGCATGGAGGTTAGATACCGAGGCCGCTCTCTCCTTATAGGTACGTGAAATGCATGGAAGGAATTAATCACTGGGGAAAAAAATCTCGTCAAATTGTAAATATTGTTTGTAGTATGGTGACGAGTGGCGGTTTGGAATGACTTGTGAATGTGAAGTTGTTAGAAGTTGAATCTTTTACTTTAATTTGGTGGTTTGCATGTGCTTTAGAATTTGTTGAAAAAGTTTTTAAATATAAATGGAAGATGACTGTAAGAATGTAAGATCGACTGTAACCCTTTTTAAAATCTAGCCAGGTTGAATTTCCCTTTTAAAATTTATTCTCGTACTATGTTTTTATGTTTTTTTGGTACATTTTACAATATTGAGAATAGAAAGATTTTGATTTTAATACATACAGTCTAGAATTATTCTAATAAGTTATTGGCTTAACAATAAGTATTTTTATGATTTGAAATAACATGTACTATTTAATAAATAAATACTTTCTCTTAAATTTACTTTTCCTTTTTACAAAAAATAAAATTGTTGTATGAAAAACACATTCAACAAATATAAAGAAAAGTGACTGTTAACTTGTAATGAATGTACAATTATCAGTGCAAAATTGAATATTTACCTTCAAGAAAACGCACAAATAAGACAAGTAAAATGCAATACTACACAATATAATTTGAAAATTACAATACAACAAAAATATTAGAGGAAAAGTACAATATTTACTTTAAACGAATACACAATTATTACCCAAAAAAAAAAATGTATACTACATATATATATATATATATTGTGCAATGAAAACACATTTATACATTGAAACACAAATTTATCCATTGAAAAATAATACAATAGCATATTCAATATACAGAAAATGTACGCTAGCTATAAAAACAAGCAAAACATGAAAACCAAAACTGAGCTGGAAAGTATACCTTAATTCATTATCTCAATCAAAATCGCAGCTAAGGACTTCGAAATACAGAATGCAATAGCATTGATGGCAGCTAATTAATCCAAAATCACAATACAATAACACTAATTGCAACCAATGCAATCAAACCAGTTCACCAATTATATTCTTGATAAGACGATAACTCTGCTGGGCACTCTATTAGTTAGGCATTAAGACAAAAGTCTTGGAAGAATTAACACATAATTCTTAATTGAGTTACCCAAAATAAACTTCACCTTTAAATTTATAAAATTAAAAAACTAATAATAATCCGTGTTGCAAAAATTGCGATTAGAGAGCGCCAGCGATTTTTCCAACCTTATAATAACAACTAGTTTTGACACGCGCTTTGCGCGATTAGACCAATGCCCAATGTATATTTATAAATTAGTGTGCCTTAATTGGTTAAAGTATTCATATAATAATGAGAGAAAAAAAATTCGAAATGAATAAAAGATAAAGAAATAATCTTAGTGCTTATATATTTTAATAAAAGATAAAGAAATTTGAAATAGCTAAAATAGAATTAAAGTAAGTAAAAACAAATAAACCACTAACTAAAGCTGACTATCTATAATGAAAAGAGTAGTAATTTGAGCAGAGTAAAATTTATTTTTCTTAGTGCATGTTTGTTGAGGCTCGGAATTGTCTTCTTCTTTTCCATCCTTAGTGAAGTTGAGTTTCCTTTTTGCTGGTTGTGCGTTTATTGCATGTTGTTTACTCGTGGTAGTGAATGACAATGAATCGTGCAATGATGTTATGGTATATGATACCATGTTTTTGCCTTGTTGTGTGTAGGATTGAGACCTTAATTGTATTATATATTCTTCATCTTGTAAGCGGTTATTGATATGTTGAAATCGTAGCTGTTGACCCTGCAAGATGTTTATGTAGTTAGTCATAGGTTAATTTACTATAAAACATGAGTGGTTGTGGGTGGTAAAGGATGAATACCTGTTGTTCCAATTGCATAACTTGTTTGCTCGTAAAGAGTAATAGTTGTTCAACACATTTCCTAAACACAGATGCAACAAGGCATCCACTTCCATCAGTAATTTCCACATCCAGTTTACACCTATTATGAATGTTTAGATTAGAATTGTTGTATTATGTTTGTGTAATGATTAAATTGATACTGACCTCCTTCTAACAAAAAAAGAAAAATAAAACTGTGTATAAAAATTATTACTTACCGTGGTGTTCCCACTGCATTCAATTCACCACAATGCATGCAATTAAATTGTTTCACTTTCCGCGTAAACCTTTTTCATACAATGACTACATCCAATGTACAATGTGTTTTTTATCTGATGCTTAAAGCTGATTTTTCTTTTTATCCAAGCAGGTTTAATCTACAAGTTGTCATGAGTAAAAAAAATGAATATTAATGTTAAATATAAAATATTGAATTATTGTGTAAAACCTATTACATATATACCAGATCAATTGATGGAGGGATATTAGCAATTGTAAAAAATTGTAAAAAATGGAGGATAAAAGAAAAATTTTGCAGTTTCTGGATTTGCAAGTTTTATTGCAACGTCATTGTAGTCTCGACATCGTTTTAATGCATCAAGTGTAGCACGATGCTTTGTTCCCCTAATAATATATACAAAAGAAATGTATTTTTAAAATAATGTGTGTGCGTGAGTCTGTATATAATTCATATTATTTTATATTTTATTACACGTGGGGAATCACAGTTTGCTGTTTGAGATAATTGTATGACCATGTGCTTAGTTATTATTTTCATTATTATAACATTTACTCTGATTTCATAATGTACTTTTGCCGCGACGTTTTTCGTTAGCAGGATCCATTGTTGCGTAAGCATTTTGGCGTGTCAAGTTCCTCTCTGCACGTAGACTCTCATTACAAGCATACCACTCCCTATAAATAAATAAAGGAGTGTGCAACACAAAACGGAAAAACCATTTATTATATTATAGGTGTGAATAATACATATACCTTTGCATTTTTAGCTGTGAATTCTAAAGCCTACAAAATCAATTCCATAGAAAAAATAAGTCCACACAGAACCCCTAATGGGCATCATTTGCGTTAAATAGGGAAAAGTCGGGGACACCGGGATACAAGGTTATTAGAATGTCATCAACTATCCTTACAGTAGTATACAGAAAAGACTCAAAAGAACACTACATATCATGATCATTTGTATTGCATCAAATCAAAATAAATATAATAGCAAATGTATATACTACTGAGTATAACGTAAAATCTACTGTTTTCACAAGTCAAACATATCAAGAACCCACACAGTACAACTTATTACTGAAATTTAAGATTATGGAATATGCCTTCCCTACCGAAATATCATACCTGGCTTCCCTCTTATGGAAGGCCAGCCCTCAATATTCATTGATCTTGTAAGGGTTTTCATGCAAGTTATGATGCAAGCACCACTTCCCCCTAAGGAAAGACATCTACCACCTTCACCACCTCACCCCCACCCAATAAATTTAAAAAAAAAAAAAAAAAAAAAAAAAAAAAATAGCATCAGGAAACAGTCAATCCATGTTCAGAAAAGTGAAGTGAAACAAAATACCACCATCTAATTTAATGAGATACCTTGCTGAAGTAACCAGCCAGCAGAGCACTGTGAGGACGCACAGGTTCCAAAAATGAGAATAGCAAGTTCATTAGCTGCCAATCAAAATTAAAAGTCTATTTAAAAGCATTTTCTTCCAAATAAGAATAAATAAAGCACAGTGAAAACATGTATTGTCACCTCTTCATCATCAACCAAAGCTTTGAGAATTATATCAACCTCACAAGTAAAAATTTCACAAGCAATAAAAGGAAACATATTCACCCACATGAACCCAAAAAAAAAAATTAGAACAATACAACATATTCAAGATAATGTAAATATGCAAGAAATTAATAGGCAGAGCAAAGATATTTTTTAAGTAACTCACTTAAATTTTCGTTTTTTCTCAGTTTCATCTGCAGCCTCTTCCACTATATATCTGACAAGTTGTTCCACTTGACTTCTCTCCCGTAAACTTCCAAATAGCCCACAAGTGAAAACAAATATTTTAGAGTGGCAGTAAATAGAAAGTTTACAAGGAAACAGCTCAAAGAATTTATATTTACAAATTTGAACATGAGAGATAATATTGTAGTAAGGTAGGAACAAAGTGATAAAGACACGAGCCTTTATGTGTGAGGTGGTGCCTTAGAAGGTGGGGGTAGTGAGCATTTAGCATACATACCATAATTAACCAGCAACTAACTAAATGGACAAAGGCTGAAAGCATTAAAGCACTGCATCATCTAACTATCAAAATTAGATGTTAAAAAAAGTTGAAGATGCATAGTAAGAATATGTACTTACAAAAGACACAACATGAGAGTTCAAATCAAGTATGTTTACTTTCCATAGTCTAGAGGCAAGTAAGCTGAACATTAGCAGAACAGAGGTAGGTACCTTCCATTATGATCACCTACTGAATTAGAATCACATACTGAATTCTCATCAGCCATACTGTAAGAATATCCACCCTGTGTATCTGCTTGCAAGTTGTGTTCATAGCAATTTCTAATATGAGAAGTAAGATAGGCAATAGAAAATTACAATTCCAAATTTCTACTACTCACTCTCACTCAGGACAAAAAGGAAATCAACCTGCCATGGCACCAGAAAAGCTTTTCTAATTGACCTTCATCATCAACAATACACTCATAGCAGAACATAGAATCTGATCTACTTAATTTTATGATGCAAATCTCAAGTAATGCATAGACAAAATTAAAGCAAAAGCAATGCATTGACAATTCTGCAAGATCACAGAAACTCATACTTGGTATGCTTGAATTAATTGGAGTAATTCATAATCTATACTTGGTGTGATTTTGCCTCAATAAACTCAGAATCTATACTTAGAACAAATTAAAACCTAGCAATGCCATACTTAACTAAGAATTAGTTTGAAGCAAATTAAAACAAAATTTAAAGCAAAAACTATAACATACATCCAAACCATTCCAAAATTCTGCACTTTTTTCAAATGAATTAATTAAGTCCCAGCAAATTTGAGAAAATGCTACCCAAAATTTTTACCAAAATTTTTACTTCCACATCGAAGCAAAACCCATCTGAAATATCACAGATTTGCATTCCACTCAAGCTACCCCTACTTTCATAGCAAATATGGTAACTTTTCAACCACTAATATGCCATTGCATATGCATAGATCAAAGATGAAAATTTACAAGAATTGAATTATTGTCAAACCATTCATATCAGTGCCATAGATGTAATTCAATCTCTGCATAATTGTAAATAATTGCATACCAGACGTAAAGAGACCAAATCGGCTTTGTTTACTTTGTTTCTTCGCTGGTGTGTGATTCTTCTTGCTTCTCGTAATTGACGGTCGGCTGTGCTTCTCCGCTGGATTTCTCCATCCTTAATCGCGGTCGGCTGTGCTTCTATGCTCACCCATCATTGCCGATGAAAGGAGGCTCAGGCGGCGGGCAGTCTTCATCGTGGTAGACCGGAGGAGAAGGGCTACGGAATCTGAGTTCTAGTAAGGTGGCTGGCAGTCTTCATCGGGGTAAAGTGGAGGAGAAGGGCTACGAAAACTGAGTCCTAGTAATTGCCATTTAATTTTACGAAAATTTCAAATTTGCCACCGCTAAACATCTTTTGACAGAATTGTTAAGTTTAACAGTGAAAGTTTGGTATAATTTAGAAGAATGAGGTTATATTAGGAATTTAAGTTGGCATTGTACAATTTAAAAAACGCAAAGTACAATTTTGTTGAGCATGTGGCGTACCGACATTTTTTTTATTCCGGTTAAGGGTCTAACAATATTCGCTTTTATTAAAATTGTAGATGTAGATTGTAGATAAAAGGAGCAAAAATGTGAAATGATTCATTCAATATACTTATATTTACCATCATATCAGATTTTATTCCGTGTATGTATGTTAACACATGGTAGCAATTAAAATTACACTGACAGTCTGACACTAAACTGCTGAACAACAGCAACTACATGGTACTCCCTTTTATAAAGGAATTAATGAATTATACATACCCATACCTCTCCAAATACTTTAGGCTAATCCCATCTCAGCAATTCTCTCACTTTCTAAAATTGGTCCTACTTTCACAACACTCAATTTGCAAATCATTTATTATTCACACTATATTCTTGCAATATTATTTCATTTTCTAAAGTGATTCCACTTTCATATTATATTATTATATTATCTATATCTCTATCTATATATATATATTAAAGCAAAATGATTAGGGAAAATTTTTTCCTAATAATGATCATCATAAATAATAATTAAATAAAGATGAAAAGAAAATCAAAGTCATGAATAATAAGTAAAAAGATTTTAGTGGATAGGAGAGTAATTCACAAAATTAATTTGAGTAATAATTGTTGATTCCATAATTGAGAATTAACATTGCAATAATTATGCTATGTTTCTAACATTAATTGATTGGAGATAAATTTAAAATTCAGAATCAATGTTTATATGAACATCTACACCTACTTCAACACTATAAATAAACCATCATCCACAGTACCACAACCAATACTACAATTATGTTTTGGTCGTGGCTGGAATTGGGAGGATGGTTGTGGCTAGAATATGGAGAAGAATATTTCTGGGAATTTAGATTTCTTATAGAGTTTTATACTGTGCGATATGGGGAAGATGAATCAAGAAATGCGCAGTAGACATGAAGAAAAAGCTAATGATAAAAATCATACATTGCTTCTAAACCTGGGGCTTCGATCTTGGAGATGTTCTTTCTTGAAAGCAGAGGCAACGGTTAGCCGTAGCTCATGAACGCGAAGACGAAGAAACAGCTTACGTAAAAAGACTATTTTGCCCTCATGAATAACAAATTTAAAAAGGTTTAAGTTTTTACGGTCAATTTTCACCAGTGATTTGGCCGGAAGGACCAAAGCTGCTAAAAAAATATAGTTAAAGGACTAAATTGTTAGTTTCAAAAGTCATGGAGCGAAATTAACACACCCCCTATAGTCATAGGATCAAAAGTGTAATTTGCTCATTTGTTAAATTAATAATAGTCCGTGCCTCGCACGGGACACTTACTAGTAAATATAATAATAAAATAATATAATAAATAGCTTATAAATTAAAGAGTAAATACCCAAAATGGTCCCTCGACTATAGCAAAATTCACAAATTGATCCTCGACTTTCAATTTCAACCAATTAAGTCCTTAACTTTGCAATTTTAACACAATTTGGTCCTCTGTCTATTTGACCGTTTGTTGACTATGATTTTTGAGGACATATATGTAATTTCATGTCCATCGTCGATTTTTAAGGTTCTGGTTGCATTTCCAAACCGCACTGTTACATTTGAATCCACTGTGGAAAGCAATCTACTAAATCCGGTCGCCTTTCTTCATCCTCCCTTTAGATTCAATGTAGTTGAGTTCGTACCAGAGCGAAGAAGACGACGTGTTTCCGAAACGGTGCAACGTCATCCTGGAGGCCTCCATGTGCTCCGACGAGAACTGCAGGTTCTTCTGGAGATCGTAGATGACGGCGCGGCCATCGGCGTTGATGCAGAAGTGTTCGAAGGCCTGTTTTAAGTCGGGAATGTAGGGTATCCATATGGGATTGAAGACTTCCGGCCGATTAGGTGAAGAGGAAGAGGAGCTGCTCCAACACCGGGAGAACGAGCAGGCCGATTGTGGTTATGTTGGATTTGAGGGCTTCGCTGGCGGTCTTTTGAGAGGTTGATTCTGACTTTCCCTTGCGGATCTTCCTGCTCGTAAACGCAGCGATATGCTTTGTCGGCGGCGCCCTTGTGCGATTGACCATGAAATTACATATATATCCTCAAAGATCACTGTCAACAAACGGTCAAATAGATGGAGGATCAAATCGTGTCAAAATTACAAAGTTAAGGACTTAATTGGTTGAAATTGAAAGTCGAGGACCAATTTGTGAATTTAGCTATAATCGAGAGACCATTTTGAGTATTTACTCTAAATTAAAACAAAAAATTTAATAAAAAAAAAAGGTACACAAAGGCTGCCGCATGACAGCCTTTATCCAGATTAGAAAGCTTGCTGCAATTGCAAGCTTTCTATCCAACATGGCAAAAAAAAAAAAAAAAAAAAAAAAAAAAACATAATAGCTTTTAAAAAGTCACATCATTTAGAAAGTGGGGGGAAATATTGGGATGGGATTAACCTTATACATTTATACTCGGAACAAAACAAAACCATCAACTTGTTGAGTTAATCAATTGATCAATTGAATTATACCTAAAAACATACTACTATACTTAACTACTTAACTACCACTTCATATATTCTAATTATAAACATTATTCAGTCACAAGAAGTTTCACAAGGTGCCAACATTAGAATAATTTTTTGGTATCATAGTTTGGATGAAGCAGCAGAAACAGCAAGCGCAACCAGTTCTCTTCTCAAGATCTTTCCGGCTGGAGATTTAGGAATCGCGCTGATGAATGAAACACGTCTGATCTTTTTGTAAGGTGCAACCTGCAAAAAATTTCAAGGTTTCAACAAAAAAATTCTTTCTGAATGACAAGAAAAACCACAACCACTATTCAAGAGTGTACACTGAATAAACAATACTCGTGTAATAGACTCATCACCACAATGAGTAAATGAATATTCAAAACTTTCATGTGAAGTTAGAAACAAGTGGCAGAACTTGCGCTTAATTTGATCTATTTTACAAGAACCAAGATTCCACAAGTGAAGGATATTGTGTTTCATTTCAATTAAAATTTTAAATTGATAATTGAACTATAAAATATCCATAGACGGGTAATAATTTTACCCTAGCAAATGCATTTTAGGAATATAGATAGATTGATAGATAGATATTATTTGTGTTGTCAAGTAAATATATAGCATGCCTGTTTTGCAATAGTATCCATAATCTGAGTTTCTGTGATGTTGCTTCCAGGTTTTCTCACAACATAGGCCATTGGAATCTGTCCTGCTTCTTCATCAGGAAATCTGCAGTCAGGAAAAATGAATCATTAGATTATAAATTAGTACCCAAAAAAAAACAAAAAACAAAAAAAAAAAAAAAAACAAAACAAAACAAAACAAACAAACAAACACAGCTTTAGAAACTTAGAGCATCCATTTTTTTTTTGGTGAACAAATTTAGAGCATCTATATCAATAGGAAATTTTACACAATTTTTTAGGTGACATGTAAGAGAGATAAAAACATAAGAGAAAAAGAAGAGTAAAAAAAAAAAACAATGTTGTTTTGTTAGAGTGGCCGCCAGTTGGCGGCGACTCTGACACACCCGTTAGGGGCGCGAAGTGCGTCTCACTTGCGCAATTCGAGTTTTTTTTTTTTCCATCTCCTGTAAAAACTTAGTAGAACAAATAGGCAAAAAACCAAGGTCCACATTAGTATGAAACCAACTACTAAATTTTTGAAATATGAAAAAACCCTCAAAAAATCACAAGTGTGGTTGCTCTTAGAAATTGAGTGGATAATCAAGAGCTTTCTAACTTTGGGCTTATCTCTTGTGAGACTGTCTCACGGGTCTTAATCCATTAGACGAAACAGATCTAATAAAAAGAGTCATAACATAATTGCATATATAATCAATACTTTAAGCCTTATATATAATATTTGGTATTATAAAAGTAGTATTTTATACGGAGTAACAAAACTGTAATAAACAATTTACAAGAAATAAAGTAATAACATAAAAGAAGTGCATATATAATCAATACTTTAAACCTTGTATATAATATTCTATAGCATAAATGTAACATACATTCTGTAGGGAAAAAAGTAATAATAGAACAGAGTAACAAATATTATCAATACTTTATATACTTCATAGTATAAATGTAGTACTTTAAAAAAAAAAAAAAGTATAATGAACAATTTGCATAAAATAAAGTGTCATTATATAGCAAATTTTCATATACAATCGATAGTTTAAGACTTATATATAATACTTTATAACAGAACTATAATAAACAATTTATAGAAAATAATATTACTAAACACATATACCATAAAACCCAAATTCTTATAACTAAACTTATCTTATGAATTAAGAACCTTGAGACCGTCTGGTAAGACAATTTGGCTCTAACTTTTAGGCACTAATTTTTTAAGTGTTCGAAACAAAAACAAAATGTATGAACTTCACCTTAATTCAGAAAGAAAGATGGCGACAATAAATACTAAACCAGAAAATTTGATAAAACAAAAAAATGTCAGTGGTACTGGTACATGTCTAATCAACATGTGCATTTCAGTGTTCCATAATTGCTACACAGTACATTTTGAATCCATACAGTTACACTATGGAGAAGTTTGTGTAAGCAGTAATGCACCAGATTCTTATACAACTCAATTAGTTGATCATATTAAAATAAATTTATAAAATCCTATGAAAGACTAAAATGACAAAATGTGAGATATAAATTTAAAATTACACAAGTATTTGGGGTTTATAAACCAATACAACACACATTTATCCATTCACCAATCACCAAAAGAAGTGGTGAGTGGTGACCCAATTGTAATGTGTCTGACTTAGACTGATTGTTGTGTTCCAATTAGACTACTACCTACCATACTTTAAAATGAAGCTTATACATATAGTTACCAATTTAATCATTTTTCTTTTTTTAAAAATACTTTGTAACTTTTTCAAAATTAGCCTGAAAGCCAGCCCACCAACTTGCAAGAGACAAGTTAGGCCTAGACAAATCAAGCAAGTGAGCTGGCACAGGCCCACAAAGCCTGCCAAAATTCCAGCTCGTAAACAATCTAGCTCCCAATGAAACCTCTAATCAAAAGTTTCCCAATAAAGTACTACTCCTCTGTCACATGTCATACTTACTATTCATGAGTCTAAACAACTCTTCTTCTTTTGTTTATTTTCTTTAATATTTTTTTTACTTATTTTAAAATTTTATTTTTGTGTTTAATAGTACTTGTAGTGTAGTTTCTAAATATAGAAATTGTGTACACTAATATTAAACTTAATATTATGAAAAATTATATTAAAAATAACTTCGTCAAGTCTCATTAACGGAATCAGACAAATAAAATAGAGTAATATTCACCAAAGTAAAAAATCAAAATGCAGGCTCACTACGCAAGTTTCAAATTTGCAGGGGATTATGAACCCTAGCAGTTTTAGGGGATGGGGGAAGGCAAGTTGGAAACATACGGAATAACAGCGGCATCAGCAACATCAGGGATTGACTGAAGCAGATGTTCTAACTCAGCAGGGGGAACCTGAAAATTGTTCCAAAAGCTTTTTGTTATGTAAATGGTAAAAGCTAAGGCATCCATCCACTTTAATTGCTCACCTGAAAGGCCTTGTATTTGATTAGTTCCTTCAACCTGTCCACAACAAACAAGAACCCTTCCGAGTCGAAATAGCAGAGATCCCCCGTTCTTAGCCATCCTTCCGAATCTAATGTTGCAGAAGTGGCAGATCTGTCGCCAACATACCCTACCATCAAACAACAACACTCTTTACAAATACTAAAGGTTACTAAATTAGTTTCTGAGTCGTAGATTATGGGCAAGACACTGGATCATATTTGACAATTGTGATATAAGAGTTACATCTAATATGGTGTATCCTTTGTAGGCACGTAACGGGTCACTGTAATTTACCCATCTAGTATTCTGTAGTTTTCTGCAGTGTTGCAAAAATCGCGCCTAGGCGCGTTCAGCCTCCTAAGCGCCCACCTACGCGCTCTAGGTGCCCTGGGCGCTCCCCAAGCGCCTAACGATTTTTTCGAACATTGATTTTTTGTGTGCAAGTAATAAAGGTTAAATGAGCCATAAAAGAAACAACCAAACATTATTTACACATTTTTGGGTTATTGCAGTTTCACCTTTCATGATTAAGGGCCCTCGTAGCCACAGCTCACCACGATGGCCAGGAGGCAATGCTTCCCCAGTTTCAGGATCGACTATCTTAGCTTCCACGACTGAATTAATGCGGCCAGCAGAACCATACTTTTGACATTCCTCGGGACTTATCATCCCCGTTGTCCCGCCGGTTGTCTCAGTCAGACCATAGCCCTATCATTATCAAGAATGGAAGTATTTTTTAACCACATGCCTTAATATTATCAGTGTTGTGATATTTAAATCGGTTTAATCTTATACAAGATACACTTAAAATGTGTCATCTTATACAAGAAAACTGTGTGGTGGTGACGACACTGCCACGCTGACTTTCGGACCAGCAGTTAAAAAATAAGCGCGTGCAAACACGCGTACCTGAGAAATATCCACGTTGGGGAACCTGGCATTGAACCGTCCGGCGACCTCCCTTCCGAGCGGGGCGCCGCCGCATGCCAGCAACTTGACGGAGCTGAGGTCGTACTTGGCCACCAAATCAGACTTCGCCAAGGCCACCACCAGCGGAGGCGAGACGGGGATGTACGTCACCCTGTACTTCTGAACTGCGGCGAGCATCTTCTCGAAGTCAAACCGCCGCATTATCACCGCCGTCTCTCCCATAGACACCGTTCGGATAAGCATGAAAAATCCGAACACGTGAAACAGCGGCAGCATGAGGAGCGCGACCGATTCTTCCGGCGGAGCTGTAGAATTGCCGTCGGTAAATTTGGTGTTGTACAAGGTCGCCATTAGAGCGATAAAATTCCGGTGGCTCAACTCGACGCCCTTGACTCGGCCGGTCGTACCGGACGAGTAGAGAACGGTTGCAGTATCGGACTGGCGAACGAGTCGTCGGTGGGAAGAATCGTCGTGGTGAGAAGTGGGGCCCTCGAGCATCGCGGAAAAATCGGCGGAGTCTAGGATAACCGTCCCGAGAGGTAATGAAGGGAGTTTGTTGGAAGTTGCGGAAGTAGCGAAAGCGACGGCGGGGTTACTGAGTCGGACCATGTGAGCCAACTCGGAGGGAGTGGAGAGCGGGTTGGCAGGCGAAACGACGACGCCGAGAGAGAGCAGGGCGAAGTACAGAACAGGAACGTCGAGGGAGGTCGGAGATAGAACAAAAGCGACGTCGTTTCTAGCAAGCGAAGGAAACCGGGACCGGATAGCCCCGGCGAGAGCTCTGGTCCGGCGCAGGAAATCGGAGTAGGAGAGCTTCCGGTCGGTGGCGGCGTCAATAATGAAGGTGTCCGCAGCGGCGGTAGCCGGCGAGCGGAGCAGGGAGATGGCATATTCGGCAATGGAGAGAGGCTCGTCGGCGGGAGGCAAGGAGACCGGAGGTCTGAGACTCTGAAAGGTCTTGGTTTCAGAGCAATAACCATTGGTGGGGTCAACAGCTCCTGGCACCGCCATTGATGACAGTTTATTGTGGTCTTCTTCCTTCACCTAAATAAATAATTATACCAAAGATGGTAATCAATACAGATTTGACAATTTTGACAAAAAAATGTCTGTTAAGTGATAAACTGATAATGAACGGGTGGAGGAGGAAGCTATTTATCTGAACTCTGGAGAGTAAGCACATATAAAACATGATTTTAATCACAATTCAGGACACATGATTCTCGAATATCGGATCTAATGTTTTTTTTTTAATAATATTACCTCAATCACAAGGTAGTATCTGTTATATACTTTCTCCAACCAATACAGCTCAAAGAGTCAATATTTCACCACCGGAATTCGATATTGTGACATTCCCTCAAGAGAAGCACAGAAGTGCCATCTGAATACAAGGTGTTTGGCCGAATCTAATGTATATAAAGATTAGTACACATCTCGGATAAAAAATGTAGATTTTGTTTAGGTCAAAGTATTAATCTTAGTGTTAATGTGTGATCAAAATTGGCGGACTAAGAAACTTTAGGGCAAAATAATGAAATAATGAACATTAGGTACTAAAAAGAAAAAACATTAAAGATGTAGGGCAATATGATTGGTCGACTATACAATTACAGAATTGTTTGATTTGACAATCAACTAACTACACAATATAACAAGAGTATTGTCTTCGAGTTTAACTGACTTAAAAATTATAACGGGGAGCAACATGTATGGAAAAAAGGCCTAATAAACTTAAGATTAATTTGACGAAGTTGGAATCACCTAAATTAGTATTTTTACTCTTCTAAAATAGATATTATACCTAAAATGAGTTAATACCCAAAATCGTCCTCGACTATAGTGGTTTTTCTCAATTTCGTCCTAAACGACTTTGGTGACCTAATATCGTCCCAGACTTTTATGTTTCGCTCAATTTCGTCCAATACTTTTGTGTTTTTGCTCAATTTAGTCCCTCATTTGTTATTCTATCCATTTGGTGTTAAATAAATAGACAATTAAGTAATTTTAATATTGACATCTCTTTACTCATAGACATGTGAACTGCGAAATCCCTTTTTGTTTACGAATTAGTACCAGAATTACTCCTAAAACTGCAAATATAAAATTTGATTTGCAGGTCCGGGAGTAATTCTGGGTGTAATTCGTACAAGAAAGAGGAATTTCGCACTTCACAAGTTGAAAATAAAGAGAGATCAATATTGACATTACTGAATTGTCCTTAAATTTAACACCAATTTGACGGAATAACAAATGGAGGACTAAATTGAGCGAAACACAAAAGTCTGGGACGATACTAGGTCACCAAAGTCGTTTAGGACGAAATTGAGAAAAACCACTATAGTCGAGGACGATTTTGGGTATTAACTCTACCTAAAATTGTCCATCAACTATAGACGACGAAATTGAGTAAATTTTGCATAATCGATGAAGAGTTAAAAATTATGGGAATTAATGCTTCAAAATAAGACTATCATCTTGTTTTTTATAGGTCCCATTAAATGGTAATAAACTGATAAAAGCAATTTACAAGTGCACATTGGACACATGAAAATTCTTATTTTTATTAAAATCACCAAAAATCTCTCATTATTGAAGTTGATCTAAAGAACATGTCAAAGAAAATCTCTCAATATTAATACAATCTTTTGTCTAGAAAAGTCTAATACTATTGCCATTTTTAATTCATTATTATATTAGAGTATTTATGTAATGATAGCAACGTGACACAAACATTTGACATTATGTAATTATTTTATTTTGCTCATAAAAAGTTCTAAAAATAAAATTATTTATATTTATTTTTAAAAAGTAGATAATATTTTTCAAAAAATGAACGATAAAACTGGAAAAAGAGTAGCACATGTCCGCACTAAATTTTGCAGTAGCCGCTAACCAGTCGGTGTAGAATTATTTGTGGTCGGAGGCATTTATAAAACATGCGACTATTTTGTAGTAATAAAATTCATCAATTAAAAAATAATATATACTCCTAGTAATTACTTTGTTCACAATTAACATATCAATCATAAAGTACCTTTTAATTTAATATTATCACTATAACCCTTGTTAGCACATCATGTTTTCAACGTTGTAGAGTAAATTTAGTCCTAAATCATGTGTCGGATAAATTTAACTTTTAAGTTCTTTAACAAATTGATTGTAATTTTCTTTTTGTCTTCGGGTCCAACTTAGTAACATTTACTTACTACGCACAAGAAGCTCTCTCACTCAAGAAACTCCCTCAGTATCACTGGTGAGACTCGATCTCAAGTCATTGTTCCCAAGCTTCACCTTTTTGTGACCAACTGAGCTGCCGGACAATTTTTGAGATTTCAGCCCAAATGGAATGAACAAATAAAGCAACCAACTTGGTTACCAAATCACTAAAGTTCAGATTAACAAGGGAAATCCAATCCAATACAGATAAAAGCTTCTTCTAAGGCAGGAATTTGGGGGAAATCCAATCCAATACAGATAAAAGCTTCTTCTAAGGCAGGAATTTGGGCAAAGCTATTTAGCAGCTCGTGTTGGCTACATGTCCACGTTGATCTTGGCATCGAGATGTGAGCATTCGTCGAAAAAGGCCTTCAAGTGTTGGTATGAATGCTTTACATCATCCACTCCGCACATCTCTCTTATGCTGTGCATTGACAACTGAGGAGCCCCGACGTCAACAGTCCGAATCCCCACCCCGCTTGCCAATATGGGTCCAATGGTTGAGCCACACGGCATGTCATTGCGAACCACAAAGTCCTGTAAACAATCACGACGGTCAAAACAACCGATGCATTATCCCAAAACAAGGACCAATAATGTTCACTCGTTAAATCTTTTGTTTCAAGTCTGGGAATGCTAAAGAAGTGCATACTAAAATGGGTAATGTAATTCCAAGGTTTGCAAAACTTCCGCTTAATTGGCAGGCAGCTATACTTTTTCAACATAACTAATTCTAGGAAGGAAAAGTTTTGATTAATTCATGGGGTAAAATCATTCTTTCTCTTTCACTCACTATTCTTTTTCTATCCATGGTTTTCAACTCACCTGAACAGGAATGTTGTGTTTGGCAGCTATTTCCCTGAAAATGAAGGAAGTGACAGCATTGGTTGCATATCGTTGATTTGCATTGTGTTTAATCACAAGCCCGCCATGAATTTTTGGCTGATGGTTATCTTCATGCTTATCCTAAAAAAGAAAATCAATTTAAAATGCAATAAAAAGACAAGTATGTAACTAATGTAAATGCAATTAAAACATTAATTTACCATATAATTGGGATGTAAGGCATGTGCCATGTCAGCAGAGACTAGCAAACTCTTTTGGATTGCTTTTGTGACCAACTGGAACGTAATAACAGCAAAGTAAGATATAAGCTTTGACAAAATCACAAAATTAGCTCTAAAATCTATTCTGCTACAAGGCTGCAGTAAAAAATATTACAAATGTAACAAATACTTCGTAAGTTTTTTTTTTTCCCATTACACCCTAGAATCAGATTTGTCTTAGACTTGTTCATTCCAATATTGGCTTTATGAAGTCGGTGAAGTAATCAGGAATTTTCTTCATTCATTTTTCTGGAAAGGCAGAAGGGTTTGTGAGTAATTGCTACATATGATACGGAAATATATCCAATATAATTGTTATTGTAATACTTACACTAACAAAAAACCAATAGCTTCAAGATCTCAAACCCCACATTGCTATAATAAGAACTTAAGCACATGTTTCTGTACAGAGATCTCCGATATAAATTCAAGATGATGCAGGAACAATGAATTCATGATCATCATGACAACATTCTTCCAGAAATCAAGTTTTCATATCTTTGAACCCATGGCTAATACAAGAGTAAGGGAATGTATTAATTATTTACTTCTCATCCTATTATCGAATTTCGTTAAGGGTTAATCTATTTACAACTTAATTTTTTTATATTAATTAATTTAGTGTAGATGAATAAAATTTATATATTTAAAAACTAAATTAAAAGTTCAATAAACACAAAAGGCCAAATTTTAAAAATTATATGAAAATTACTCAAATGAAGAAGCATTGGATTGACTTTCAAATAGTAACAATGACTGGCAAAACAAAATAGAGTATGCTTTTTTTGTAAAACATGAAAGGGTTATTATCTGCCAATGTGAGAATATATGAGGGCATGGGTTTGTGTTTAGAAATTAGAACAGAAGCAAACAATGAAAGTATATTTGATCTAGACTCTAGAGCCCTTTTTACCTTCGAGTCAGGGTCAAAGGAACTTGTAATTCGAGAGAGAGCATCTAGCATGACAGGGGATCCAGCTCCTTGGGCTGAATTGGACCCAACCTCCTCATGATCAAACAAGGCCACCATTCTTACACCAGTTTCATCCTGTAGACTGTTCTCAGAAGAGGTTGAATCTACCAATGCCTGAAAAGACCAACAATGTACAAATTCCATTAGGGAAAAAATATAGAACAAGTAAAAATACCTTGAAATTAACAAGAAAACCAATGATGTATGCTCTAAATGAGTTATTCCGCCTATCTGTATTTCCATGTGTTAGTGCACTTTCATGCAGATGCTAGTGATAATTGCAAGACAGCATTGGCCCAGTCTGGTAACTAAAAGTTCGATGTATTGATTTTGCCAGACTGAGTACAGAAACCAAGTTCAGTCAGTTCAATTTAGTGTGCGAATTCAGTTTTCAAAATTCAAGCTTAAGCAGCTGCAACCATTTATGCAAGAGAGTGAAAACATAAAGAGTAATACTTAAGACATCAGTGATCAGAGCCTTTGATAATAAGTCATTACAAGTAATACTCAACAACTGAAGATTTTCTTTGCATATTGCTCCAACACTCGGATAAAGAAGTTGCAGCCCTGTGCATTATTATATACTCATTAGTTGAATGTGGAAAATGATATAAAGAAATCAATAAGTCCTTTTGCTAATTTCTTGCGCACTATTGTGTTGCCAGATAACTATAAACAAATAAATAAATAAATACCACAAGTTCTCTATAGGCTAGTTAAACTTCAACACATCTAATCATTTCATATTATCTAATGTAATAACTTGTACTGTACCAGTTTTTCAATTGCATGATTCATAGGCTTAATTCCTCAATTACTTAATACACTAGAAGAGATTAGAAGTAGAGATTTCTTGAAATGTCAATTCACCAAAAGAGACATCAGACGCATCACTCTTTTCAAGTTCAGAAAACTATCAC